AATGTTTTGAGAATGATGAGGGCAATGAATGTACAAATGTGCTTTACACAATTGATGTATGTATGGATTGTGATAAGAGTTGTATGAGCTCCTAATAAAACGATTTTAAAAAAAAGAAGAAAAAAGGATGATGAGGCTTTGTTTCATATAATTTGGACCTTTTAACAGGAGAGACCATTCCTTGGAGAAGGACATCCTGTTTGGTGAAGTAGAGAAGTGAACAAGAGGAAGGTCCTGAGCAAGATGCTCGCCACAGAGGCTGCAGCAATGGACTCAAACAGGAAGGATTGTGAAGCTGGTCCATGAGCAGGCAGTGTTTTTCTCTTTTGTGTATGGGGTCACTATGAGTTGGAACACACTCAATGCAACCTAACAACACGAACAATCTACGAACTAGTTGAGTCAATTCCAACTCGTTGATCCATGTTTGCCAGAGAACTGTGCACCATAAGGTTTTCGGTGACTAATATTGGGAACCAGATTACAGGCTTTGTCTACTCAGGCACCTTTGAGTAGATGTGAACTGTCAACCCTTCTGTTAGCAGCTGAGTATGTTAACTCTTTGCACCACAGAGGTGTTATATACTACATAGTCCATATTATTCTCAGGTAGAAACATTGTTTTCATCATTATTATTTTAGTCTCAACTTTGAAAAACTTCCAGAATAAAGCTCTTTTCTTCGGTGTGCTCCCCTCCCCTAGCTCCCTCAGAGGAGGCAGCTCACAGCTCATGAATTCATTGAGGAGCTCCCTGAGTGCTGGAGTGCTGGGCTCCAATCTTAAGCCATTCTGTGATCTCCCTGGGCCTGAGCAGGGCTAAGCTGAGAGGAGGAAATGGCAGAGGCCTCTTGGTAGCCAAGAGCATGTGGGACAGCACTGGGAACCCTCCTGAACAACTGGAGGTTTGATGGTCTGAACAGAGCTAAAGCAGAAGTTTGTGATGCCAACTATATCTCCAGGTGTTTGTGGTCTAGGAGGCTGGGACTACATTCAGAAGACCTGTCATCACAGAGCTGGTTGCTGGTGTTAGGGACAAGGACTTTGTGGCAAGTCAGTCCCTGAATACACCTTGATGGCCGGAAGAAGGTGAGGATAAGAGGACAGCATTTGTCTCATCATAGAGTGCTTGATCTGAGATATCTCAAAAGTATTCCCGAGTGTAGCCTCAAAAGATAACCCTTCCACGGTGTGACGTTCTCATGCCCTGCTTTCCGGGAACCCTCCCCATAGTGCTAGTTATACATTACAGGTATATTGTTATCTCAGTGCTGTCAAGCACACGTAAACTGTCCAGATCATATCTAAACAGGAATGAAAAGTTGAGCACAGTGCCACAAAAGAAAAAAAACCCTTAGATTTTTGTGTTGTTGACCACAGAAGCCAACTTTTATTTAAGTACAACACACATACAAAAAGAGTGCACAAATCTTAAATGTACAGTTTGAAGAATTTTCACAAATGAAATATCCCCAGGTAGCCAGCAACCAGACCAAGAAACAGATCATCTCCCTTGATGGCCCCTTTCTGTTAAGCAACCTTCAAGAGAAACTACTGACCCTACTTGAACAGCATACACTACATTTGCACTTTCTATAAATGGTTTCATACAGGTGGAGCATGCACTCTGCCTTGTCTTGCTGTGTATTAGGCTGTGAGATTCACCCAAGTTGCAGTGTGTAGTTGTTCACACTTATTGCTGGGTCGTATTCCATTGTGAATCTACCATAAATCACTTGACATCGGCATCTGGGCACTTTCCAGTTTGGGGTTATGATAAAAGAGTGCTTCTACGAACATTCGAGTACATGCCTTCTGGTGACTGTAAGTACACATGTCTGTTGGTACACACCTAAGAATGGAGCTCTTAGAGCACAGGAAACACATATCCAATTCAAACTATCTCATGAAAGCATAAGGGACTTATTGGATGGAGCCTGCAGGATCAAATAATTGACACAAAAGCTAGAAGGGAGGCCTAGGGAATGGATGGGAGCGGAGACAACTCTCGGGAGCCAAGGAGAGAAATATGGATGTTTTAGCCGGGACTTTGCAGTCCCTGACTACCCTCGCAGGTGGATACCATCATCTTTTGCAGAGTGATGGCCAGCCCTGGACACCACTGCAGCAACCAGGAAATGAGTCTCATGGTCTTTTATTTCTGTGTCACTTTCTCCAAAATCCTAAGTGGAGTCCAAATAGTCCCTCCCAGGTCACAGGCTAGTTCTGCTGGCGCAGTTCAAAGGGTGCACATAAGAGGGAGAGGTGCAATCAACATATAACCCCCTTCCAGGAATGTGAACAATGGAAAAGTGGGTGAAGGGTGACAGAAGACGATGCAAGATACAAAAATAATAATCTATAACTTATCAAGGGTTCATGGGGGGGGGGAATGAGGAACTGATATCAAGGGCTCAAGTGGGAAGAAAATGCTTTGAAAATGATGATGGCAGCATATGTACAAATATGCTTGACACAATGATGAATGTATGGATTGTGATGAGATGTGAGAGCCCCCAATACAAGTATTTAATTTAAAAAAAAGAGGGAGAGGTGATTTCCCACCTCAGCTTTCACATGGAACATGGCACTGCACCCCACCAAATCTAAACACATGGAGTCATCTCCCTAGATAGGAGGAGGATGTGTGTGTGTGTGTGTGTGTGTGTGTGAGTGTGAGAGATGTTGGCCAAAATGAAAGTGAAACATGACAAGTGTGCACTGCAGGTGCGTCCTGTGCAAGCAGGTTATGTATCCCTCCCCGTTCAATGGCTGCTACAGGGGCGAAGGTACTCACTCACACGTCTATGTGCCTTCTGTCCACGTGCATGAGGTTGCCATTGTCAAGGGGAACACTGACTTCGAGGGATGCTGTGAAGGGCCAGGAAATCCTACAAACTGTTGTAGGCTTGGATAGAAGAGCTATAGTATAAGTGTGTGTGTGTATGTGTGTGTGTCATCTCTTAGCAAAGAGGAGAAAAAGGAAAAAGGAGAGAATAATGGGGGACAGAATGTGGAGGGTTGGTGAAAGGAAGAACAAGAGAGAAGGCTTGGCTAATGATAAAACAGCAAATCTCATGGCTGTCCTACTTTCCTGGCGTCTTTGATGTGATTTTTATGGATTGCGGTTTGCTTTATCAGGTTAATGTTGACACAGACAACAGAATAAAGGGCCCTTGGGCACAAATCAAAAACACAGAAAGACTTGGAATCTTATGATCACGTACAGCATACAATTCTTCTGCAACTTGGGTACCCAGCTTCCTAACAATACTGCATTATCAGTAAACTTTAATAAAACCAGGAGTGGGTTTCAACAAAAGAATCAAAGAATTAAAATTTAGTAAAGTCATTAACAAGAGGAGCAAGCAATTAATTGATCCAAAAACTATATTTGTTTCTTTGTAGACAATTGTACATTATTCCTCCAACTAAACCATGTTATCTTTGAAGCTGTTGCATTCTTCCCTGCTATATCCTGGCAATTAGTACATTCATGTGTTTTAAATAATAATAATCACCGCTTTGATCTGTATAGCACCTTCCTATTTCTTCGTAGGCAGTAATACAGGGGTACTAATTACCATTATCTCCAAAGAGGAGAGTCAGTTTTTAAGCAAATGACACTAAGTAAACTGAGACAAAGAATTATTTTCCCCTGTGCTGCCTCCTCCTCTTTCTTTAGGGGTGGCAGGATTTTAGTCACACCTGCAGGATTGCCTCAGAAAATCAAGAGCTAATTCATGGCTGTCTAGCCTTTCTCTAGGGATCCAAGTATACTTTTCTGTGAATTGCCAGGGTGTGGGGTCAACGTGCCTCCTACTAACGAAGGAGGGAGTGGATGGTCCACAGCAGCACAAGTGTCTGTATCCCTGTGTGATGCAGTTCAGGTGGCCTGCAGGTGGCAGTACTTGGGTTAGGAGAGTATTCTGAGGTCAGACTTCCTGCACTTAAATCCCAGCTTTCCTGTTTACTATCTATGGGCTAATTACTTAATTTCTCTGTGCCTCAGTTACTTAAACTTTGCCTCCGTTTTCCTATCTCTAAAGCAGACACACACACACACACACACACACACACACACACACACACACACACACACACACGGAATGGTTGGGGGACGGAATGCTTTGACCAGGGCCTGTTACATAGCAGGCTGCTGCCATATGACTCACCCCTGCAAGGCACGGGCCACTCAAAGTCCCACAAGACTCACATACTCACATAATGCCAGACAGGAGGAAGCAGGTGAAAATAACTTATGGAGAGGGCACATAATTCCCTTGGCAGGTTTAGCAGGTTGGCTAGAGGGCACAAGACGAACAGTTGTCATATGTGCTAATGTGTGCATTTGACATCTAGATTTGTAGCAAAAGGTCAGTAACAAGCCTTTGGGAAAGCAGGAAAACGGACCCTCCAGCAGCATCTGCAAAATAGTCCCAGGAGGATACAAACTGAGAAAATCATTCCAATCCTCCGCATTGCTTCCTTTAAATTACCCAAACTCACTGCTAGAGAGTCCATTCTGAGTCACACTGACCCTATGGACGCCCCCCCCCTGCCCCACAGGGTTTCCAGGATGGTAAATCTTTAAAGGCGTGGAAAGTGTCATCTTTCTTCTACAGCGTGCCTGGAGGATTCAAGCTGCTGGCTTTGTGGGTAGGAGCCCAACCTGTAACCCGCGGCCACCGGGGCTCCTTCCTTTCAAACAGGGCGATGGAAAACCAGGTCAGAGCATTTCCAGGGCTGCTTTCTCCAGGGAGGTAAGTAGAAACTTTTCCCACATATGCATCTTTCTGATGCTCAAATTGGTCTAGTTTAATATGGAATTATTGCGAGTGGGGGAACATTGATCACAGCTTTCTTTCCTATAAAGTATCCACTGTAATATACTAAATAGTCTATATTTCTTTTTATTTGGTAATGAGTTACTTGGCTATGAAAAATACCTATTTTTTGCCAATCATTAAAGCAAATAAAAATGAATCATAATGCAATGTGAAAAAACAAAACCCAAAACCAAAGTGAAAACCCAGGTCAGGCTAAGGAACTGCCCTGGTATGGGAGTGTGGGCTAGGCTTTATGGGGGCTCAGAGCATGCACAATTTTGATGAGGGAGATTCATGGACTGATACAGAGACATTTCCTCACAGACGAAGTTAGAGGATGTTACAAAAGAACTTCTTCTCTCGGAAGGGATTTTCTGACACAGGTACAGGGATGATGAGGGGGTCTTCCTGTATGTGGGCTTCACAGTACGCAAGCAAATCCGCTGCTGCCTGGGAGACCTGCAAGGAGCAAAGAGCACAGGGTCAGTGGGCATGATCTGCTGAGGTCCAGTACCTGGAGAACTCCAGATGCCAAGTCATGCAGGTGTAGGGCTAATGCCAAGGCTATGCCCAGGCTGGAGGGAGACCAGTTTGAAGCCAGCTGCCTTAGCTGTTTGTGCAACCTGATGAATCCTCACGGCCCAAAATAGAGTCTTGTGCCTTTCTCAACAGAACGTACACTTAGTTAGTATGACAAGCACAAATTTTGAAATTAACATTTCCTGAACAGAAAGTCTTGCCCCTTCATTTCCATCCAAGATTCTTTCCTGGTTGTTGATGTCTAGTGTATGAAAATGCCTTCCAATCCAGCTCAGGTCCCTTGTTACAGAAGAAAGCTGGAGACCAAGAGTGGAGTGCCAATGAGCATCACTAGACAGAAAAGGTTACAGCTCCTTTTGCTCTGCACTGTCCCCGACCAATGAATGACCTGTGCATTCACTCACCTTGCCAATTAGACTGTTCTGACTACACGTGATTGTTAGAGGCTTACAGCAGTCCAATGAAATCCTTTCATTACATTTTAGTGTTTAAATATTCTCTAGGATGATAAAAACACTCCATAACTGAGTGAAAAAACAAAATAAAACAAAACTTATTGCTTCTGTGGCATGAAACCACATACTTTCCCTTCTGGGATTTTAAAACTGGTTCATCTTCCAAAGTTTAAAAAGATTCCACTTGTCCTTTACATTCCAGACTTTAGCAGTGGCTGGATTCTTATAAACAATTTTAGTAGAGGAATATAGTGAATTCTCCCCTCAAATAAATCAAGTAGAAATTGAACAGATGAATCAATGTAATGCCTGACAAAGCCTACATTTGCTGGGATTGTGGCACGGAGAAAAGGGTATCAAAGAACATCAGGTTTCTAGTTCTATTTCTGACTCTAAGCCAACTATTGGACCTTGGGCAAGTTATCAACTTCTCTGAGCTTTTATCGCCTTGCTTGCAAAATGCAGGAGTGTTATATTTTTCTCATATATTCAACAAACCAAACTCGCTGCCATCGAGTTGATGCCGACTCAGGACCCTTTATGAACAGTGTAGAACTATCCCTTTGAGTTTCTGAGATTGTGAGTGTTTATGGGAGTAGAAAGCCCCATATTCCTCCTGAGGGGATAGATGCTGGTGATTTTGAACTGATGACCTTTCAGATTGCAGCCCAACTCGTAACCACTACACCAATAGGGCTTTTCCCCCTTTGATTCCGATAGTCGATGAGTGTACCTCTAAGTGTAATGTGTTGAGTATTTCTGATCCTAAGTCATTGCAAGTTCAGTTGCGTGGGGATGTTTGAAGTGTGTAGTGATTTACAAGACACCCATACAGGGTTCTTCTAGGTTTACAGACTCAACGAAGAACAGGATTGCAGGGAAACCGTGAAGCTATCACAGGTAATAGGAGTACAAGAGCAGGGAATTTGACCTTTCAGGCCCTAATGCTATAATGCATACACATGAAGACAAGACTCACAAGAAGTGTGTCAGGCCCAGAATAAGAGTATGAGGTATGCACGATGCACTGTTGTTGTCGTCGCCTTCTGAGCTAAACCCAAGTGCTTTCCTCAGCTGCTTAAGTCTTGACCCCTCTCTCTCTATTCCTTGATTCTCACTGTGTCCAGAGATACAGATACTGCTGGACTACCCCCCAATACTTGTGAATTCACCTAGTGACCCCTCTGGCAATCACTTTACTGCTACCCTGGCCAGCCCACACTAATGGGTTCTCATGTTGGGACTGACCACTGTCCTCTAACATCTACCTAAGTGCTCCTTTGAGGTCTTTTAAAACTAGGTCCTTGACTTCCTAGTGGTTCATTGAAGAATGCCTTATCTGACCATTATCCCTCTCAAATATTCTATTTTCTTATTTCACTTTTTGGACATGCCCCAGTTTATTTAGAATTCTCTATAAAACATATTATTTCATTGGGAAAGTATTTATTGAGCATCGACATTTTAGCTAATTGAGAGAGCCCAAATTGTGACTCATAGCAAGTCTATGAGTAGAACAAGGTCGAATTGCTCCATCAGGTGTCCAAGGCTGTGATCTTTATGGAAGCAGACAGCTACATCTCTCTCACTCGGAGCAGTTGGTGCAGTGTTTCCTGAAGTGGGTGATACCACTGGACCAATCCTGGGTGGTTGCAAAAGCAGATACCTACAATTTATCATGTATAATGGGCTTTTTCTTTGTCAGAGAGTTGCTGTGTCTTTTTTGTTCTGTTTTTTCTTTCTGAAAAGGAGACAGTAGACAAATTAAGTTTAGGAACCTATGCGTTATTGGGTTCAAATCTCCCGCCTTTCAGTTAACAGCCAAGCACTTACCACTATACCACCAGAGCTCCTTAGTAGGTGCTAAAACAGCAAAAGAGACTGCTGCATTCCACCATGGTTCCCTGAAGAGAGGCAATGAAACACACACTAGCTGCTGTGGGGTCAATCCGGGCTCCTGGTGGCTCTCTGTGTGTCAGAGGATAACTGTGTGCGTGGGATTTTCAGTGACTGATGTTTCACAAGTAAAGCACAAGGCCTTTCTCGTGAAGGACCTCTGGATAGACTCAACCCTCTAGCCTTTTTAGTTAGCAGCCAAGGTTGTTAAGCATTTGCACCCCCCAAATTCCTGTGGTAAAACCCATGTCTGTCCCACACGGTAGCAGCTACCTTGGTAAATCTCCCACTTTATCCACAAGTGAGGCCTCAGCATTATAGGCCTGGAAACATGATTTTCTAGCACATTGAGAATGGCTCTTCTCTGGTGGCAAACTCATGTTAAACAAGTTCAAGACACACTTGTATCAAGCCATAATAAAAATAAAAGGTAACATGTACTGAATGCTTACCATGTGCCAGGCAGTATGCTAAATGCATCATGCGTATCCCCTCATTTAAACAATCTAATAAGTACTATCTTTACAGCCATTATACAGGTGAAGGGACTGAGGCAAAAAGGTTAGGAAACTTACTCAAGATCACTCTTCTAGTAACACTGGAACCAAGAAGTCGTAAACACAATGCAGCAGATGTCACCTTGCTAATTAGCAATGACAACTCTACCAATATAGTAGGCAGAAAACTTTTGTCCCCCTGGCCTTTTTGACCACCCATTCTTTTTGTGGACAAGCTCCCTATGAAGTGTATGAACAAAGGAAGTCTCATACCTAGGTTGCATCTTTTTTTATATAATAAGGGACATTCTTGCAAAGGAAAGCCTAATAGCTAAGTCTCCTAAGCTGGACCATACTCCTTTCCTGATGCCTTGGGTAGAAACTACCAACCAGTGCTTCCAAGATCCTCCTTATGTGAGGCTTGTGTGCCTGATGACCCCCTTACAGAGTCTGCTTTCAACAGTGAGCCAATCACCCTATGGAGTCTGCTTCCAATAGTGAGCCAATTGGCCAGAGGTTGGCTTGCTAAATTAGCACTCACCATGCTCCTCTGCTGGTAAGTTTACTTGTACTTGTCTACTTTCTTCAAGTATGGATTTGACTAGTTTAATTCTGAGAGTACTCTCGAGGGGGTACATCACTGGACCCAATGGCAAATAATAACACACCAACAAATGAACATCTGATAAGCCTTCCACATGAAAGACGACACTCGAGAGACAGGGGCGGGGAGGGGGTTAAAAAAAGAAAAGAAAGATGACATCTAGATACATAGCTTAGTGTCCAGGCATGATTTAATCTCAACCAGCTCCTTAAATTGAGTTGGAGGGGTTTCTTTTTTTTAAAAAATCATTTTATTAGGGGCTCATGCAACTCTTACCACAATCCATACATACATCCATTGTGTAAAGCACATTTGTACATTCATTGCCCTCATCATTCTCAAAACATTTCCTCTCCACTTAAGCCCCTGATATCAGCTCCTCATTTTCCCCCTCCCTCCCCACTTTCTCCTTCCCTCACGAATTCCTTCAAAATAAATTATTATTTTGTCATATCTTACCCTGCCCGACGTCTCCCTTCACCCACTTTTCTGTTGTCCGTCCCCCAGGGAGGAGGTCACATGTAGATCCTTGTAATCGGTTCCCCCTTTCCAACCTACCCTCCATCCACCCTCCCAGTATCGCCACTCACACCACTGGTCCTGAAGGGATCATCCGCCCTGGATTCCCTGTGTTTCCAGTTCCTATCTGTACCAGTGTACATCCTCTGGTCTAGCCAGATTTGTAAGGTAGAATTGGGATCATGATAGTGGAGGAGGAGGAAGCATTTAGGAACTAGAGGAAAGTTGTATGTTTCATCGTTGCTACCTCGCACCCTGACTGGCTTGTCTCCTCCCCAGACCCTTTTGTAAGGGTATGTCCAGCGGCCTACAAATGGGCTTTGGGTCTCCACTCTGCACTCCCTGGAGGTTTTTCTTAATCAACCCTAGATTTATTTCTTTGGTTGAAGCTTTCTTTCTGTGCACATAAAATACAGGCTACAGACACTGCCAAATCCCATAAAATATTTGCCATCTTTGAGGCATAATATATGAGAGAAATATTCTATTAACTTTTCATTTTATTTTTCCACGAATGTTTTGAAGCTCCCTCATACAATTAGCTTTCAAAGATAAGGTTTTATTTTGGTTCCAAGTGTAAAACTATCTTACCTTTATGCTTTTCCCCTCAAGTCTAAAGTTTGTTTTCCCTAAAGTCTTTCAGGATGCCCACAACCTCACTGCTTCCTCTTCTCAGTACTGAGCTGAGTTATAAGAAAACAGATGTCGAAAAGAGTTGGTCACCAGGGAACAACTGTGGAAATTTACCATTATGTTTCAGAGTAAAATAGGTGATTAAAACAGCTCAAGTTAGCACATAATCCTGTTATCTGCACTATAATTATAGGCTTCAATGATGGGGGAAAATGTTGCAATTACTATAGTCACATTCCATGACAAGACAGATAACATAATTACTATTCTGGCTGTGGTATCCACTGCATTTATCCTTTGCTTCCAAAGTAGAGA